GGCAGGAGCCGCCGACAGACTGTAGTCCTTGGTCCCTCCGGAACCATGCGCACGGCTTGCAGAATCCTGCTGTGGGAGCTGCAGATCATGCTGAAAATCGTCGTTGGTTGCAGTACGAGCTAGTGGCAACCGAATTCCCCCATTGTGCACCACCACCGCGGTTCCCTGGGGACCCTCGGTGAAGGAAGCCCTACGGAGAGCAGACACTAACCGAAACACACTCTGTCGTAAGGACGGTTCTAGCTGGTCGAGGAACGGACTCGATACAAGATGTGCAAAACCAAGGTCTGTATAAGAGTCAGGACAGCGGTCACTCACGATGTGTTGGAGGCCAGCCCACGCAAAAAGGGCACTAGTTCGGTCAGCATCATGGAAGGTGATCACATCTGTGGGCGTGGAAAGGGGGCGGGACAGGAACGCTGTGTCTTCTGCGTGAAACCTGTACTCCTCGGCTTCGTCATCTGACGCGCCGTCGGCATCCCCGGCCGGCCCACCCAGCGTCACAGAAAACTGGGGAGCAGCAGCCACTTCCGGTGCCGCCTGGGGCGTGGGAGGGGGCACGACACGACGACGGGCGGGTCGCGAAAGCAAAGTTGAAGCTTGCGGCCGGCGCCCGAGGTCCTCCAGCCGTGATCTGAGCGCCCCTTGCTTCGCCCTAGCAGCCCGGACATACTCCTCGCGCGCCGCTAGTTCCGCTTTCTTCTGTGCAGCAGCCCGAGCAGCCTCGCGCTCCTCCTCCTGCTTCCTCGCAGCCTCCGCCAGAGCAGCCTCACGCTCCTCCTCCTGCCTCCTCGCAGCTTCCGCCAGAGCAGCCTCACGCTCCTTCGCCTGCTTCCTCGCAGCCTCCGCCAGAGCAGCCTGACGCTCCTCCTCCTGCTTCCTCGCATCATCCGCCAGAGCAGCCTCACGCTCCTCCAGCAGCTTCCGCTCTTCCGCCGCCGCTACCTCGCTAGCCAGACCGCGGTGCCACATCTCGGTCAATTCTTGAAAGGCGGCGAACTCATCTTGCGACAAGTGCATCACCATGTCTTCCTGCGGGAGCGAGAAAGGGCGAGCGCAAATGGGGGAACCAGGAGACAAACGAGCTGCCCTGACCACGTCGCGCAGGGAGATCCGTCCAGCGGTGTACGCTTGTTCCAGGTCCGCCGGATCCGCCGTGGCGATGTTGTACCTCAGGTCATCAGCTGCGGACGCGCCTGGAGTGGACTCGCTCTCGTCGCCTGTCCCGGCCCCTGCAAGCAGCTCCGCGGTGGACGGCTCGCCCTCGGCCTCGTAATCGAGGATTTCCTCATTGCCGTCCATCAGTTCCACATATCCGCTGGACATGGTGTTCTCTTTTTTCAAAAAGACAGGGCCAGAGGAAGGGCAGCTACTATCGATTTTTACAAGTGCAGAACGGCCAGCAACAGTAGATGTGTCACCCCCAACCGCTGTTGCGACAGCAGAACCGATTGCAGCGGAAACAGTAAAGCGGGGCGTAATCGCGGTAGAAGCAAACCGAGGTCCATGCGAAAAACGGAGATACCCACAGGACAGCATACGCCCGGCGATAAAAGCTTGATGCACACGAGGTTGAAGCGGATCCAACCAAGCAGAAAAGGCGTCCAAAAGCACACCATGCCACGCATACACAGCAGTGGAAGCTAGCACAAAAGGACCGGTATTAAATGGGGACACGAGATTGTCCGACCAAAACACACGCAGAGCAGCACGGCGTTCCTCCGCAACGGGTGCCGAAGTGCGAGCAAAGACCGCTGTGGGTTTGCGCTGTTGAAAGGTTTCCAATTCGAATGCCTTGAGGGTGAATGATGCTCCAAAAAAAAATTCCATGTGATTGCGAAAAATGGAGGGAAGGCTGGTGGGGCGGCTGACACCCAATTTGTGTGCACACAATGCTCTCCACGTCGAAACAAGCGGAGTCAAATCGGAGAGCACCACAGGGAAATCCGCGGACATCGGCCGGTACGCCGGCATGAATGCAGTAGAAGTGGTAGCGGACGCGGGAAGCATGCTATCATCTCGAGTCCCGCTACACAAAGACAGCAACTCCGGTTGCTTCATGCAAAGCGTGTCCGCCACCGAAATAACTTCATGGACCGCCGATGCAGACAAAATAGCTTGGGAGGGGCGGCGAGCGTAGGAAAAATCACCTACAACATCGCGATGACCGCCGAGACGCGTATCCTTCGCAAGGTCCCAGTCCCGCGGGCGCTTAGCGAAAGCATCGCAAGCCAGCATCCTCTACAAGAGAAGAAGCAGAGAAGGCTAAGTCTAGAATCTCGTGGGTGGTGAGACCAAATAACAAACAACCCCGTGGTTGTGAAGAAAGCGTGACAACAACACACAGCAGTGTGGAGGCCGCGTCCAGCACCCGCTTACCGTGTAATGCCAGCTGACGCCAAGTTTAATTCTGGTAAAAGTCAATCGACGGATACCCTGCGAATCGGGTCCTCCTTAACACTCTCCACCCACAGAATTTACCCTCAACTGGGAACCTCTTGTGGCCAGGACGGGTAATTCGATGGAAGTGTCACAAGGTTCTTTATAGGATCGATTCCAAGAGGTGTTCTCAGGACTGACACACATTGTGTCCATGGGAAATGTCCAAGTCAGGAGAAAAAATGTGCACCCAAGGAGATTCGAACCAGTATCCTGCCGCTGACGCCAAGTTTAAAGGAGGGGAAGCCGTGGGTGGTAGCTTGCTCCTAGAGATAGATGAAGGTAGGTTCTGTCGTTGACACGCTTGTCCACGATCACGTAGAGATGAGAAAGTTGCTTGTTATTGCTGAGAGACGATCAGCAAGGGTCTGAGGTGAAGTGGGGATCCAACTTCACCTCAGGGGGGTACGCAGACTAGACAAAATCCTAAGAGGGTAGGTGTCTGAAGGGTATACCTCCTGAGACCGACCCACATCCTATCAACAATAAGATGTACCCTATTTAAGCTAGCAGCCACACTCCTTAACAGCTCCCAACACGATGGAACCGTATGTACGCATCAGGGGAACTTTCGGGACGCCCGTAATAGGGTGCGTCATGGCGAAATTTTGAAGGGCGTGTGGGGGGGGGGGGGATTTTAAATGACGTGTGGAGGGTCGGCGGTGGTAGTGCAATTCGACAGGTGGAGGGAGAATGAATGAATGCGGTACGACACCAGCATGCGAACAGCGAACAGGTGACAGGTGTTGTTGTTGTCTTCAGAGGTGTGCGCTATGTTGAAGGGCGTTCGTTCATGGTGGATAATGAGGCACGTGGGATCAGGTTTATAGGTTTACAGATAGATGATAACCGTTTTCGATTCGTGATTTGTTTTGTAAAGACAGAAAGAACACTCCGCGATCACACACGAGATTGATATGAATGACCAGTTGGGAACTATCCTGCACGGAACAACTCCAGCTGTCGACAGATAGCGGCGGCTTGGGACTTGTCTCGACCTGCATGTCACACAGTCCTAACCCTACATACACCACATCCAAACCCTACATACATACCTCCACCCGCACCTTTCAAGTCAAGAAAAAAAAACCACCACATGATACAAAGTCAAGGCAAAAGAGGCGACATGGTGGGTGCTTCAACAACTTCACTGCATTCCAAACTGTCATATTCAGATGAGAAATCAGCAGGGGACATCATGGAACAGCGACATGCATGCGCGTCGGCACGGCCAGATCTGTCGCTGTGATGGCACCGTGCTGCCGAAGGCTGCAGCTGCGGTCCGAAAGGTCCAAGAACCTGGGGGGGCAACAATCACGTGCCGTCTCAACTACGGGTGGAAAGCAATACTCCTAGCTCACACCACCTGATCGGCAGTTTCGGGGATTGGGCCCTTGGCGGCGGGCACCTGTGGGCCGTGAACGTATTTTTTACCCAGATTTATTTTCTGCAGACATTTCGGGGCGCAGGTGCAGCCTTCGCTGTGCACGGCCCCAACAACAGATCTGGGCGTGCCGACGCGCATGTCGCTGCTCTCTCCATGATGCCCTCTACTGATTCCCATCGGACGTCAACACTTTCTGAGTCGGAGAGTCGTCTCGTTATATTCTTGGGTAAACATGGAGACCATATCACACACGCTTGTTCACCTCAAAGATACAATCCACTTGACGGATACAGGGTGGTATCCAAAGATACCGTGGGCGGATACTTTTACGAGTGCCAGCGGCCCGCTATGATTTTCAGGGGGCTGCTCAAAGCCTTTTTTTGAGGGTAGAACCGATTGAACACCAGTGGCTGTATTTCAAGCTATAGGTTATGCATAACTGGATGCTGCTGTAGTACATTTATATCATATGGTAGGATTTAGTGTGGTGCCGGCGGTTGTGCCCAACGGGATTCTGAGTCTCTACGGATACAGCACGGCTTATTTATTGCGAGAATCTGTTCTCATTCCGTGTTCATGTCATGCAACACACACATCAGAGAGGTTATAGCGTGAGACTGAGAGAGGAAGGAAGGAAAAGGATAAGGACATATCGACAAATGGCGGAGGGGTTACTGCTGGAAACTTCTGCGCACAGCGGCAGTGAGGGGTTGTCGGATTCGCTCCGCGCTGGATCTCGTCACGCCTGTGCTGTGTGTGTGCGTGCGGCAGTTGATGGTCATCAGTGTGGCATATTGTGCTGCACATAGCAGTAGCGAGTACTGTACTATGGATGGACCTTGGTGTACGCTCTGGTGGCACGATGGCATCGTGGGGGTCCACCGCATTGTGTACAAAGAGACGAGCAGACGACGGGAGGGAGAGCGAGAGCGCAAGCGAGGATGCATGGGCACGAACTTGCGGGGAAGGGGGGGCGCACAGATGGTACTAATAAGATACCCCGTATGGGAGAACCTGTTGTGTTGTTGTGTTGGTTGCTGCTGCTGACACGTACTTTCTGTGGGATTGGGCCTGTGATTGCTTCATCGCAACCCTAACACTAACCCTCGGAGCAGAGGCCGCCTCTTATATATCGGTCTGCACAGGGATCACACGGGGCATCTCGCACACGATCATGGATGTGAGTACCAAGGAGTGACGCGTGGTCTTGGTGCCTCTCGTGTTACTTTCGTGTCCACAGCAGAGGGGGGTGCGAATGGATCTTCAAATGGTTGTGGGGTGCTTCGAGCAGTGGGCAGTACGCAGCCACCCTAGGCACTGCGGTGAAAAGATCTACCAAGTACCCTTGGTGGGGGGCTGGGGATGCTGAAAGTAGGGGGCTCCTGTTATTTACTTGTAGGGCCGTGGCCGTTTTGCTGCTTTTTATCTAGGCCTTTTGTTCGGCTGCGCTCGCTCTAACAATCGCCTTTGAACATGCGATTGAATGCGATGAGGCGAAGAGGAAAACATTGCCGCGTTTGGTGGCTGCTGGCAACTGCTGGTCATACAACGAAGGACACACCCCGCACACCCCACAAGTTGCAGTCAGCAGCAGCAAGACCAAGATGAGGTCGTGTCAGTTCCAGATGGTGCACTGATGCCAGGCGTAGGTCATGTTGTCTTGTCTCTCTGCCTCTCGTTGGAGTGGAAGGAAGTTGTCAAGCATTTTGGTTGGTTTCGTTTCCTACCTTGAGAACAATATAATAACATTTGTTCGTGTATCCAGCTCAATCGGCGCTCGACTCGACTCGCCTCGACTCACAAGAGGACCGCGGACAAGCACAGAACATCAGACGACCCGGGGGGCGCGAGCGATAGATTACTATATGACGCAAGGGACACAGCACGGAAGAGGGCTCGCCCGCGTCTACAGTAGTACAACAGCAGTAGCAGCGGTAGAGCATCTGCGGTATATTTGGCGTTCTTTCGATCCGATTCTCCCGCCCTCCACTCTAGAATCAACAACCAACCACGACAGAGCAACTGCTTCTTTCTTTCCCGTATCTCTTTCTCTGCTTGTTTTGGGTTGGCACTGACCAATGCAACAAGACGACAGTTGTGCCAGTCTCACTCATTGGGGGGCGAGTCTACACACCTCCGGCGCACAGCAGTAACGATTAGTTACAGATATACGCTGCTATATCTTTCCTACATAACGCCCTTGCGGTCCTAACACGATGTACCTGTATGGGTGTGTGTACCCCATGCGCAGCCGTACGGCACGTCGCGTCAAGACAGCGACCCCTTGAGCTTTCCGCCTCAGGACCCCTACGAGCATCAGCAGCAACAGCAGGTGAACTAGCAGTCTTCTTGTTTTGTCTTTCGAGCTTGTAATGGGAGGATTTGGATCGTTTTGTGCATTCCCTAGCCGGATATTGCTACGTAATGGCGAGACAGTAGGTTTTGGTGTTTCGCCAAGCGCAACTGATTCAGAGTACTGAGGAGTGAGTGGCGCTCATTTTCGTTTCTACAATACACTGCAAACGTCACTCGCTCAGTAGTCAAGCAAAGCTCTGATAGTCTGAATAACGGTGGCGATGGAGGTAAGTTCGTGCATGTACAGCAGTAGTTGCTCTGGCTTGTCTGTGGTCTCGGTGGTGTTGGCCTGCATGTTGGTGGCATCATCAAGCGATTTGCGATGAACGATGTGCGAAGTTCCCTCGTGCGGGTAGACCATGCATCTGTCCTCGCTGTCTCCTTGCTAGCGCTCCCTGTCGCCTGTCTATCCAAGTACTTGGATCCTTTCCTTGCCAGTGCAATCAGAAATATCCCCGTACTCCAACACGCTACAGTACCCATGAACGCAAACAATGTCAACGCCACTGCTGTACACTGCATTTGTTGGCCAAACCTACGTAAATACAGCAGGCGAACAAGCGCGCACGTATGGACTACGGCGGGGTCGCTGCAAGTGGGGGGCTCAGGGTGGGTGGGAGCATGGGACCTGCTGCCGGCGTCCCCTACGATGATTACGGAGGCATCGCGTCGGACGGCGGCGGCGGCGGCGTGTTGAGCTACCAAGCCCCGTTCGAGACTTACGGAGAAGGCAGTCGAGGTGTCAGTGGAAGAGGAAGAGGAGGAGGAGGAGCAGCAGCAGCATCGACAGCAGGAGGAGGAGGCGTGCTGGGGACAAGTTACTATGGGGGTGCCGGCGACGGGCTGGAGGAAGTCCGAGGTGGAATCGTCGGCGGCGCGGCCGCGTTTCACGGGACCTCCGGCGTCGGCACGACTGCAGCGCTCTACGGCAACACCGGCAACACCGGCGGCGTCGGTGTTGGAAGGTACACCGGCTATCCGGAAGCAAGCCGCGGAACTAGTTACGGCTCGGGCGTCCCAGGGACCGCCGCCGCCGCCGGTGGCGAAGGCGTTGCTGCGACCAGAGGGTACGGCACCAGTGGAGGCATAGGCGATCGGTACGGCGGCGGCGGCGGCATGCGGGAGGTTGTCCCGGCAGACGGGTACGAGGACGTGAGGAGCGGGATGGTCGGGGGCGGCTACAGAACGACCAACTACAGCAGCGGCACCGGCGGGGGTCTCGCGATGGCCGGGTCGGACGGAGCCGGGTACGGCGGCGGGCGGCGGGGAGGGGGCAGCGCCCTCCCGTACGACGAGTATCGCAGCGAGTTCTACCCCAGCGGTGGGTTGGGCACCGGCGGCGGGAGCGGGGGAGGCGGCCACGTTTGGCCCGGGTCCTCGGCCGCAGGGAGAGGGGGCAGCGGCGGGTACGGCGTTTCGATGGGTGCCACAGCAGGGGTAGGCGGTGCTGGCGCCAGGGGTAGGGGCCGGGACCCCGGGCGAATACGCGGCGATGATGCGGCAGGTATGCACGCCACCGGCGATATCGCAAGCACGATCGGCAGTGTTGCGAGTATGCTTGCCGATGGCGGCGGGGGCGGGGGTGCCGTCGATGATGATGGTGGGGGGCCCAAGGCTACGCCTGGTGTCGTCGACAAGCATGCGGTAGAAGAAGATGACGGGATCGAAGACGAAGGGCCCCTGGGTGGCTGGACGGAGGTGGAAAGTTGGGAGTTCGCCAGGCTGCCACTTGAGGTATTCACAACCCTTAACCTTAACCCCTGCTTGTTGACGCTTGCGTGCATCCTGTGTTTTTTTATCGTTGCTCTGACTGTGGCGTGGGTGGTGGTCGTCTAGTGGTCTGCGTACTATCTTGTGCTGTTTTCTTGTCGTCGGTATTGTCGACGTCCCTGTATCACTGCGCGTATTAATAGTTGCAGTTGATGGCGGTCATGATGTTACCGTCGTTGTTGCGGCTAGCGCTGCTGCTACCACCGTTGTTGTAGTTGACGATACCATGTTCTTGACGGCGTGCCTTCCTGCCTGCCGCCATGCCCCGTGCGCAGGGCAAGACCCGCAAGCCGTGCCCCCGGGAAGTGAGCGGACCGATCCACGTCTTCGACGGCAAGAGAAAGCCCGGAGCCACGGGGTGGCCCCCCGGCATCACCTGGATGGTCAGCGAGACCTACAAGGGTACCCTGGAAGGGATAAACTGGCCGCCCTCGCTCGTCGGGGTGGTGCTCACTGTACGTCGTGTAACCCTGACCCTAACCCTAACCCTAACCCTAACCCTAACCCTAACCCTAACCCTGACCCTGACCCTAACGCTAAGTTGATTTTCGTAAGCACATGCCGTGGATGGTGGCGTCTTGGTGCGCAACGCCGTGGACGACAGAAACCCCGATCTGGCGTTATTTTGGTCGCTGTTTGGCCCCGTAGGTGTTTCCTAGATGTGTATTGTACCGCCCGCAAGAACAAGCACCAACAATAATTGTTTAGTCTAAACGCGAGTTCCACGAGGACCCTATTGCTGCACGAGCGCACCCTGTCTGTCCATGCTGCACGCGAGGTGTTCGCCGCCTTGTCTTACCACGGGTTTTTTCCTATCCGTATCCATCCCTATCCATGCCTCGTTTCATCGATCCGCCCTTGCCCTTCCGTCGGTGCCTGGCGTGCCGCTTTCGATGTTCCTTCCTTCTCTTCGAAGGGCTTCAATCGTCCAATCAAGCACGTCGACTGGCCGGAGGGGCTGCTGGAGCTGTACCTCAGGGGACCCTTCGATCAGGTGTGTGGCAGAGCCTTTCGCAACCGACACCAAAATATGTGTGGTGTTTTTGACAAAACATTACATGGTACATTTTCGTTTGGTGTTTTTTCTTGTTTTCGCTATGCTTTCGTGGTATATCGTGTTGTGTTGATATCGACAGCAGGTTGTTGTCGTTGTTGTCTTCACATTAAGAAACGTTCCGTTCTCTCTGCCCAGTGCCTTCTTCTGTCCGTACTATTATAGTCTAACACTTGACGGGGTCGATTCCCGTGGTCACAGGCTAACTTACCCCCGAAAGGTACAATATACGAAAACAAAATGGACCCGAAGGGTCCGCAAGCCAAAAGAAGAAGTCAACGAAAGATAGTCCAGGCCATTCCGCTCGTCTCTACACGCTATGCGGGGTAACCCTAGATTGGAAAAAGCAGGTGGATTGGTGTTTTTTTTTTTTTTTCGTCGTTTCAGCCCCTTTGGCGTTGCGATACACACGCACGCACATCGTTTTGGTGTCGATGCCGGCGCAACGATAGGCACGTCCATTTGTGATCATGCCGACAAAGGCAGGTGACACCTCTCTGTGTTTGGCGTCGGCTATCCCACCCCTTTGGTGTTGCGGTCCGCGACTCACTGCTGCTATGCACATGTTTTTGTCTTGTTCTTGCGTCGTCATGTTGGTTGGTTTGAAGGCTATCGAAGAAGCGCGTTTCCCGGAGTCTCTCAAGACCCTGTCCTTCGGGGCCTGCTTCAACCGCCCTGTCGAGGAGGCCGAGTTCCCACAGGGTCTGGAAGGCCTATACTTCGGGGATAAAGACAAGGTGGCCGGAGGAAACTGGGCAGGGGGGGGGGGGAGAGAAAGCCGCTCAGGGGTTGAAACAACGCCGTGTCGAGTAGTGTACCAAAGCGTTGTATTTCAGCCGACACTATTTGGAGAGGCTCCGTGTGCGTGCCCCGCGCTACCTATGTAGCCTACTCCGTGTGCGACTAGCGTTCTGCAACCACTAAACGCACTCTGTGTCCACAAGCAAGGGTTCAACACGCATGTTGTGGTATTTTTGGTTTGGTCCCAGCTGTTGCGGCATCGCCTGTCCGTGATAGAAGTTGAATGGTAGAGGTGGCGGAGGGCACAAGGCCCGCTCCCAGCCTTTCGCGGTGGGCATGAAGAAGCCATGCCGTCCCACAAACCTCCGTCCCATATTAAACCCGTCCCGTCCCATGCTTGGCCTGAACCAATCAGGGCTACGAGCGGGCCAAGTTCAACCAGCCATTGGCGGGCATGGCATGGCCGGCCTCCCTCAAGCAGCTCAGCGCTGGCCAGGCGTTTGATCAATCCTTGGAGGGCGCTGATTGGCCGGACACGCTCGAGGTACGGTACGGCGGTTTGGTATTATGATATGGTAGATGTGACCCGTGGTATGGTATGATGTGGTATGGCGTGTGTTATGGTATGCTTTGTGGTTTGGTACAGTGTGATCGATGGTGCGGTAAAATGTAGTACTTCTGAGAAAGTTGAGCACCAGGATGAGCAGGCGTTGGCTCGTGGGCCTGACGCAAAGGGCTGCCGTGTTTGATGCCATGGTATCCAGGAAGAAACACCACGCTGCATGTGTAGACTACACCATAGGCGACGAGGGTGTAGAAGGTGGATGCTCCACATGCACAATCAAAGAGTAGGCGCCGTGCTTGGCACTTTTTAAACAACCTCGTCGCCAAGCTTAGCCTCTGGACACCTAGGTGTGACTGACGCATCGCGGGTGCGTTGTCGGCAGACAGCGGTGTCGGTGTTGGTTGCCTTATTGATTATTTGGCAATTCGATCTCAACAAAATACCCTGCACGACAGAGAAGAGTGCTTGTAAGGTACTAAATATGTACTAGGGAGTATCAGTGTCATAGAGGGAGACCGAAGCTGCACGGGAGGCTTTTCTATTTGGTGTATGCATACAGAAGTAGCTGGTCCGTGACATGACGCACATTGGTATGTAGATGTCTTGCCGTTGACTGGAGGCATCCATCCGTGGCCACATAGAAGGCCAAAGCTCCTAGCTCCACGTTTTTGCGCAGAACATACCACACCACTACCCCTGGACGGATTTTCCAAGCCTCGATTACGCTGCAAGCCACGAAGGTGGCGATCCCCACAATGCCGGTGTTGGGGCAGTCTGGTCGGACGTATTTTAGCTTTCAGACAAGGCATCATTTGGTTTTGGCACCCTCTTCGTCGTGGAGTAGTGGAGCTTTCCAGGGGGTGTGTTATCTCACGTATTCGACCTATTGTAGATTCTTTGCTCACATCCTCCGGCGTGCGTGACGTCATGGGCATTTTAACGCCATGTGTGCGATGCCACGGGGCGGCAGGTTATCAACATCATGGGGAGCAAGAAACAGCCGGTGGAGGACATAGAATGGCCGCCCGGCCTGAAACAGGTATTGTGACTTGTGACATGTTCAGACGCTCTCGTGACAATGACAAACGATGTTATCGAGGCGTCATTTTGTAGCCTTATCGAAGAACATTGCAGGGGTGGTGGTCGTGGTGGTAGTGCCCCCCCCCCAAGGTTGGTGAAGTGCACCGTTCGATTTATCTGTTGTACTTGTCAACCAACCTGAAGAGTGAAGCATGTGGTGTGGTAAGTACTCCCGCCAGCGAGAGCGTTGAAGGAGATATGGGATGTGTTTCGACCCTTCAGCAGGGTAGGTCTGGTGCGTCTGTGTGCTTGGAGTCCTGCCGTCGTGAAGGATGACTGCTGTGGAGAGGTGCTTCGATTCCTTCACAGATGAAGGATTGGTGTTGGTATGTGTTTCGATCAAGTTGCACGTGGGCGTGTGTGTGTTTCGGTTCCTTCCGTGGTGATGGCTGAGTGTGTGTGGTCGACTCCTTCGTGAGTGTGGTGCTTCGATCCTTCAAGGGTGAAGTTGTGATGTACTGCGTGAGTGTGAGTCCATCCTTCAGCAGTGGCGGTGTCGTGTGGGAATGTGTTTCTACCCCTTCACGGTGGAGCTTTGACGTCGGGGTGGCCATATGAAGCATGCCGCACATACCAGCACATAATGTTCCTCGTGCATGGTGTATGTGTCGACCCTCTCCTCGCACCAACCGCGGCAAACCGGCCGACCAATGAAATGAGAACACTTCATCACCAAAGGAACGAACGCCTCGCTAGCTACAGTATGACTTGGGCCGCGCGGTTGGCCTGTCCCTTCCTCAGATCCACGTGAGCGGACGTCTCCGCAAGGAGTCTCCCAAGGCGGCGTGGCCCCGTGGCTGCAAGGTGTACGCCTGGTCCTTCTCTAGCAGGGCCGCGGTAGAGCCGACGCCGACCTTCGGCAAGACAAATGTGAGTCAAGGTTGAGGTCGCGACCTCGCTAACGTTGACGAGATGGCCTCGCTACATGTACGGCAACACCGCAGCGCCGCTCATGCTTCTGTGCACCTGCCCTATTTTGTTGTTGTCATCAGCTCGGCCATGCTGTCTGAAGTGTGCCCTCATGCAGCTCGAACGTCGATTTCGTCGACACTAAGATCAGGTATTTATTTGTTGATAGAGTACTTCGGATCTTTCGTGCAAGATAAAATTGTATGCTTATGCTTCGGAACCAAGCTCTTCCGTATGCATGTCCTGCCTCTTTTGTTTGCGGATTGTTGTCATTGCGTGTGGTGGTTTCAAACAAACATCTCGCATCGATATTGACCGTGCTTGAAAACGTCGGCATTCACCTTTTTGAGCTCTCGTATCTATCTTCTATCCAAAGCCTTTCGGTCGAACTATCTTCGTACTCTCTGCTGTATTTTGTCTGTCTATCGTACTCCATAGTAAGGGTACCAAAGGCTCTGTCTACAGAGTGAGTAGTTGGTGTTGTTCTTGAAGGACGAGGGCTCAAGCGGCGAGCCGCCGGCCACGTTTCCCGCACTTCTTCTTCTCTTTATCTCTTTGTCTCTTTTTCTCTTTATCTCTCCTTTTGTTTGTCGCTTTGGAGATGCTGGAATTCAGGGCGCTGCTGCTGGCCAATACACACAAACCGTGGTGTCAAGAAGGTTTGGTATTTTCTCGAAGCTTGCACCCAAGTCGTATCACCACGCTGGACCAGCGAGAGTCTAAACTACTGCAATGTCCAACATTTCGAAGTGTGCGAAACACGAGATATCGGCTCATCTCCCCCCCCCGACTTCCTCCTCCTCCGCGCTTTGTCGGCCCCTCCTTTTTGTGGCTCTGTGCGCCTTGATCCACGAAAGGTCGGTCTCAGCAACTTCTCCGGCCACAACTCGGAACAAGTGATGTTCGAGTACTGATGTCGACTTTTGACCAAAGTCTGACTAGACCATTGCATTGGCGACGGCCCCCAAGTCATGTGCCATGTTCGAGCGACGAATGGATGTATCCACGATGGGATTGTGATTGTGATTGTGGTTGTGATTGTGATTGTGATTGTGATTGTGATGGAGTCGCTGAGCAAGGAAGAGTGCGGCTTGACGACAAGAGTGCAGAATAGAAGAGGAAGAAAGCGAGGCCGAGGTTTTAAAAATGTTCAGAAGAAGCGTCGAGCGGTAGCGAAGAGTTCCACGCTAAGTCCCAACTTCCAAGCATGCATGTATATGTAGCAGCAATAAATATGAAGAATGTCAGGCCGAGCGTTATTTTGTGGATTCTGATGATCAGCCCGCGCCGTAGTAAATAGCGTGTTCGTTCATGGTGTGGTTGCCCCACTACCTATTATCTCCCCGCGGTTAGCGGGTATTAGCACAAGAGCACCGATTGTATTGGAACCTGGGCCTCTTGTGGTCAAAAGTGTTGGTTGCCAACGAAAACAAAGCCGCACTTGTACGTACGTAGTGTTGGTGGTGTGGTCTTATCTTCATTTTCGTTGTGCAACTGCTGGTGCACCGAGCCCAAAGTTTTGTGTTATGCTCCGAGCGTGTGAAGAAGCTCAGCGTAGGCGTTCAAATGCAGAAAGGGGGGTTCGATTTTTCTGCACATACATGTGCACGGGTGCGTTTGGCGGTCCCAACTGTTTTTTTTTTTTTGTCATGTATCATACCAGTCGTGTGTTTGTTCACCTATCATTTCCTTGTCCGTCTCTTTTTCTAATCCGTAGCTTTACGTATGCACATGTCCTTTCGTTTTTTATCGCTTTAAGTTTTGCGGTTGTCGCATGTACATACTGCTGTGGCTTTGCGTAACAGTACCTTTTCTTCTCTTCCTTGTCCCGGCAACGTCTTGGGGGGGTGGGGAGTAGTACTACAGTACAGCATGGAATACCTACACGTTGGTGATACCTCTGGTTCAGTTGATGGGACTGACACCTGCAGTTGATGGGACTGACACCAACAGAGTGGAGGGGGGAGGGGAGGGGACGGGAGGGGGGCACACTGAATTGGACGGAAAATACCGGGGGGGGGGGGGGG